TCATATATACATATACACATACATACAAACACACACATATATACATGTATATATGTACAAATGTACATACATACATACATACATACATACATACATACACATATACATGTACTGGGGAGATGGTTCAGCAGTTAGGAGCACTGACTGTCCTGGTTTCAGATGTCGAAACCACGCCCACATGGCAGCTCACAATCATCTATAATTCCTGTTCCTGGGGATCTAAAGTGCACTTCATCCGACTCAGGCACCAGACATGCATGTAATATGGACTTTCATGCTGACAAAATGCCTATTCGCATGTAAAAATCTAAAATAATAAAAAATACATGCAAAATGAATTCCATAAGACTGATTTTTTTTTTTAAAATAGACCTTTAAAAAATACTAATGGGGATGGAGAGATGGTTCAGGGTTTAAGAGCACTGGCTGGTCCTCTAGAGGTCTTGAGTTCAATTTCTGGCACCTACATGGTGGCTCACAACCATCTGTAATAGGATTGGGTGCTGTCTTCTGGAGTGCAGACAAACATGCAGATGGAGCACTCATGCACACAGTACACACTAATCTTTACGAAACAGGAGAAGCAAGAATAGCAGCTTCTCTGACCAAAGTCAAGAGCAAGACTCCCGAGGGCCTCAACATTGTTCTCATCTCATCTCATCTCATAAGTATTGCTACTTTTTGTTTTTTTTGTTTTTGTTTGATTTCTTTCTTTCTTTCTTTTTTTTTTTTTGGTTTTTCGAGACAGGGTTTCTCTGAGTAGCTTTAGAGCCTATCCTGGCACTCGCTCTGGAGACCAGGCTGGCCTCGAACTCACAGAGATCCGCCTGCCTCTGCCTCCCGAGTGCTGGGATTAAAGGCGTGCGCCACCAACGCCTGCCAAAATACTTTATTTAACTTTATTTTATGTGCACTGGTGTAATGATACCAGATACCCTGGAATTGGAGTTATATACAGGTGTGAGCTGTCATATGCCATATGGGTGCTGGGAATACAACCTGGGTCCTCTGGAAGAGCAGCCACTGTTCTTAACCACTGAACCATCTCTCCAGTCCTGATTATTCTTTTCTTGGGGTGGGGAAACCGTTCCAGACAGGGTTTTTCTGTGGCTTTGGAGGCTGTCCTGGAACTCACTGTGTAGAGTGTGCTGGCCTCAAACCCACAGAGATCGCCTGCCGATTACTGGGCTTAAAGGCATGGGCCATCACTGCCCGGCTTGTTTCTTTGATTTTTCTAGACAGGAATTTTCTGTGTAGCTCTAGATGTTCAGGAACTGCCTCTGTAAACCATGTTGGCCTTGAACGCACAGAGATCCTCCTGCCTCTGCCTCTGCCTCCGGAGAGCTGGGATTAAAGGCGTGTGCCAGCACATCGCAGAGGCACAGGACTCTTTACTCAGGCAATTTAATTAAGGCTCTCAGTGTTTCCTGCTCATTTTTCCATTCCAGAAATTTTGGGCAGTACCTCCCCAAAAGATTCTGTTTGATTCCACCTAATCAGGATTAGGCTCTGAACCAACTGGTATGCAAATGCGTGTTAATCCTCACAAGGTCCGAGTTTAGTACCTGTAGTCACCTTCCACAGAACAAGACATAAAAAAAGCAGCTTCAGGGCTGGAGAGCATCTGTCTCTCTTAGCTTGCTCTGCTGCTTAGCTGCTTTGGGTAGCTGAAGCTATGGCTTTTCCTCCACCAGCCTTGGAGGATCTGCCTGCAGGGTGATACTACCCAGAGCCCCACATGCCGCCAAACATGAATCGAGGAACAAGCTTGGGCCTGGGCACTGGATAATTTTGAGGCACTGGATCACCCCTCGTGACTGGGCCAGCACCCCCAGTGCCTTGGAAGAAG